TTTTCCACAGTAGTGCTCAGTTTGAAAGAAATGAAAAAATTTACACATTCAGCCCTGAGCAACTATCCCTGATATTCCTAAATTTGAGGCGCTCGTGCCTCCCCCCTCAGAGTTCAGGTTGTCATTCTGCTTTATAGTGTGTGAGATCATATTTTTTTATTTAAGATCTCACACTGTTGTCATGAGAATAATTGGGTTTGTGAAAATCCAATTATTTCTTCATTAAAAACATACAGTAAAAAAAGGGTTGGAGAAAGAATATTTGTTTCTGCAGAGGAATCTTTATGACAATATAGTATCTTCTCAAGAATAACAACAGGAATTGAGGAAGGAAATAATATTCACTAGGTAGAGGACAGAGTGCTACAGAAAACTAAGGCAGCTACTAAATAGCTTCTTCAGAGCTGTACTTTTGCTTTGCCACACTTAAAGAACCAACTATTGGAAGGCATGATGGGGGAAGGAATCCTATAAGAAGGCAACCCTGAGCTAGGAGGATAACTTGGGCAATGATGAATCATTCAGCCTTTTGTGGGTCCTCCTCATGGTGCGTGTTACCTAATCCAACACTGCAGTGGATATTTTGCTGCCACACTAGATTATACATTTGTATTTAACTTGCCTTTTGTCACATTTGATCTTTTTCAACATTATTGCTTTCCAGGCCAGTTTCTTCTTGACAATCCTTTTATGCTGGATTGTATTTTCCATCCTGTGTTGCTGTGTTTTTTCCCCTCAATTTTCCTCCATATTTGTAGCAGTTTGAATGTTTCCCTTACTATGTAAGTCTTTCTGTTAAAGAGAAGCAAGATTTTTGGTGATAGCTTTTATTGGACCAACTATAAATTGTGAGAGATGCTAGGCAATTTTCTGGACACAAAGTGCCCCTACCTCAGGCCTAGGAAAGAAGCAAGTAATGCCTAAGCTAAAAGGGCACTTTGTGCCTGAAAACTCATCTAACATCTCTCCCACCTATACAGTTGGTGCGTGCAATAGAAGATATCACTCAAAAACATCTTGTTTCTTGCATATTTCCTGGATCATCATAGCTACAGCAGCATTCCAGCTGCTGTTAAAGGACATTTTCACAGTGTATTATTGATCCCGATCTTAAGCATTTATCTCTAAACCTGTTTGCTAATAAGAATCAGTAGTAAATTCTTTCCTCTGACTGGCCACAATAATGAATTGTTGATGACCCAGGAAAACACTCAAATGATGATTATTTTGCATTGGACGTGATTGACTTCCTTCCTTAAGCTGCTTTCTTGGGAAATGGGGAACATTTATTACTTGCTTAAAAGAATATTGTTTGCATTACAAGAAGTGTCAATGTAAAAGCTATAAACTTAAGAAAAGGAATAACAAAAATGAGAGCTGAAAGTAGAATAACCCTGGTTATGATTTAATATTTGCATAAGGCAGACTTAACTCCCCTTAAAATCAGTGAAATAATACCTGACTATAACCATTGTAAGCTCACACTCAAGTGCAGAAGACCTACATTAAATTAAAAGGAAGACTCTATTTTGTAGCTATATTCAAACAAATGTAAAACTTTCTTAAAATGTTGCTGTGATTTATACTTTTCTTTTACTACAGGAGTCAGAATTCAGGTTCTGAAAAAGCAACACCAAAATCACCAGGTTTTTCTTTCTTTATGGCCTGTGCAGAGAAGTCACCTGGCTTTAACCTGTTTGATCCTTCTGTATTTGGAGCAGAAAATTCATCAGATCAGGTAAGAGAGACTCTTAAGAGTATCAGCTGTTGATTGTCTCAAAGCAAAATATTCTCAGACAGTGTAGACTGCAGAAGTTTCCACCAGCTGTTGTCCTCCCCTACCAGATCATTTGTTGACTTTTCTTGTATAGACTGAAGGCAGGGCATCTATACACCTATAAATCTGCTCCAACTCATGCTTATTAGCAGACATTAGAACATGCTGGAGTATGCTAATTAGCATGCTCTAGCAGGCTCTGCATCGTGTGTATTCATTGTCCCCACACTTCAAAATAGTGACAGGGGTACTTTAACTAAAGCTTGTTGAATGAGCTTTAGTTAAAGTGTCCCATTGCCATTTTGAGGCGCAGGACACTGAATAGATGTGAAGGTTCAGGCACTTTAATTATAGTGGCTCTCAGAACCGCTCAAATTAAAGCGTTCCTCCCTCCACCTTGGAGCACATGTAAAGATGCCCTTAGAGACTAACTTATTTAAAAAGCCATAAGCTTTCGTAGATGATGCGTAGCAGGAGCAGCAGCAGCAGCAAAACTCAGCCCCTCCTTTCACAGAACCCAGGGGCTGGACGTTGCCACCACTTTTCCCTTACTTTGCCCTCCTGTAAATTTTGGGGAGGGGAAGCATGCACAGCAGCAGGGGCTCTGGGTAGACCCTGCACTGACCAGCTGGTGAGCTCATAGACCTTACAGCATGTGTGGAGCTCCCAGCAGGAGTTGCACTGACATGACAAAGTCATACAGAGAGCTGCAGCCATGTTTCTTTCTGCTGTGTGCCATGGGCTGTGCGGTACATGATCAATGAACTCTCTTCAATACACATGTACCACACAGCTGAAGGGATGTGTTTGCACCCCGTTTCTGAGATCCTGGATCCACCCATGACTGGCAGCAGAATTACATTGCCTTCGTTCTTTTAAATTTTGAAAACAGCAGTGAAAACTATTCAAAGCCTTGTCAAGTTTCCACTTGGATGGAATTTGTGAATGACCTGAGCAGCAGCAGAGACACTCACCTGGTCTGTCTGTGGATGCAAGCTGAATTCCAGTTCAGAAGTTTTTTTTGCTTTACAAATATAAAGGTTGAAAATGTAAAATTTTAATAGTAGGTTAGTTTCTGCAATAAATAGTAGCAGAAAATTCCTCTCTCATCCAGAACAAATGGATTTGTCAGGTCCTAAATATGATCATGTTATGTCACACCAGTACTAATGTAATGTTTGATCCAGATTCCCTGCCCTTTACACAAGACAACTGGCACATGTAAACTTGGCAAATCTGGCCAGGGGTAAAAGCACATGGCTAGAACTCTATCGTGTCCTGACAGTGTTCTTAATTACCTTGGGGACTGAATCAGTTCCCTGCTGCTCCCAGAGTTGGCGACTCACAAATGTAGCATGAATTTACTTTTGCTTCTCCATTCTACATCCTTAGACCTCAGCTGGATAGAGCATCTGAGAATCAGAGCATCTGTAGCAGTTGAGTTAGAGCAACACTATGGATGTCTGTATTTAATGATCATTCAACTAATCATCACTGCAATGTTTGATTTCACTAGCTCTTTTTAATATATCGTATATAACTTTACGCACAAAATAATATATGAAATTGACTGTGAATGCATTCTTTCTCTGGGGTATCGAGTAGCTTTAATTATTCCCCACCTCTGATTACTTTTTTGACCTAAAGAATAATTGAATAAGAGAATATTAATTCTTTGCAGAAATATGCTGCTAAACTTAGAAGCTGGTCAAAAGTTGGAAACAGCAAGTCGTTTTTTGGTTTTCACGATGTAGTTTTGATTAGTGCTTCAGTTGCTGGTTTATTTACATCTTTAAGTACCTATTGAAAAAGTGAAGCATGCAATTTTAATATTTTTAAATATAACAATTTCATCAAAATAAAACCTTAATTGATTATGTAAAATGATGATAGATCAGCATTATAGTCTAGTTTTTTAATCGTTAAATGTAATGGTTACTATGTTTCAGATGGATGAAAGTTATTCTGCAGGAAATGTCAATCCTGTATCTCCACACAAAGATATTGGTATGTTTGGAAGTAAAAAGTACTTTTATATGCCAAAATAGTTTATTTATCATTCTGTAACCGATTACTTAAATAGCTGTATCCTTGGCCCCTGGTTAGCCAAAACAGTAATGTCACAATGGTAAAATTGTGAATCTGTAATTTTGTGGTCCATTGTATACATGTGTATTTGGACCAACACAAAACTGTCCTGAATCATAAGTAATGAAGCCTCAGCTCAGAGCTCTGCAGTGATTGGACAGTATTTGCATGAAAAAGGAGGTGTAGAAGAAGAGACAGGCAGGGTTGACATTAGGCGTGCTTAAAACAAACCATGAGAGGAACACCAAGGTGAAAGGAACAGCTGGAGAAGTTCAAAGGCCAGTACTTAGAAGGAACTGCTAAATATGGTGAAGTGGGTGTATATATAATTTTTTTTAGAAAAAAGTATGTGATGTCACATTCTGAAAGGCAAAATTCAGATGGTTCAAACAGTGGTTTTGCCTGTAGCAATGGTTCTCTAAGCATTTCATTTTGCTGATAGCTTAGTAAGAGATCACCTCCCCTTCCAACACCCAATTTCACTGCTTCTTGATTTTCATTCAAGATTCAAAATATTTCATTTGTAGATAGCCAGGGATGGCTTTGTAGTTCGACAGAAGGTAGTGAATGCAGTTGTCTCGTGAAATCTTCATTACATGTAGTGGCCCCAAAATTGAGATCCTTGGAACAGTATTTCTAATGCACGAATAAAACATACCATTGTATGTTGATAGCCAATAAGATATTAAAACGCAATGTTATGGCAATACCAATATTCTTAAAATAAGTTTCTTTTCTAATTTAACAGATTAAGTCAAAATTCGTTTTTTCCGCAGGGAGTTTATTTGGAAAATCAGAAAGTGAGGATGGCTTTACATTTTCCTTTCCCTCCGAGTCATCTTCGAACACATTTGGAGATGGAAAAGATGACTTTAGTTTTCTATTTGCATTTGGACAAGATCAGAGATCTTCACAGTCTTCCTCTATGAAAGGGTTTCACTCTTCTTCACAAAGTACAAAACCATTTACATTCTTCTGAATACATTTTATTTCCTCTTGAATTCTTTTGTGGCTTAGCCTTGACAAATGTTTTCAGCATCTTAAGTAAAAATACAAAGCCTTTCACCTTCTCTGTCATTTCACGTAAAAATACATTATTGTACTTGCTGCAAAAACATCTATATATATATTAAGAGACAATTTTTTGTTTTTATATTTGTTATTTAATATGTTGTTTCAGTAAATCTGCTAATCTCCCTCTAAACTTGGACTTGTTATAAAGAGAAAAAATGTCAATTAACAAGAGCATGTTGAGTTAATTTAATGTATGTTATGCAACTTTAAGCTTCCAGTTTGAATACATTAATCTATAACAAAGCATGTAGTGGATGGTTTTACCCAAGCTACTGCCACTACTTAGAACAACACAGCACTTGTTCATGTAATAATGCAGAATTCTGTTCTCTATAGCTTAGTATAACATAAATTTAGCTATTTTTCTGTAGCATTAAAAGCTGTTTGAATGTATTTGTTATGTTAAATGCAATATTCATAAATTCATTAACTGTTTTAATGTGTTAAAAAGGTTAGAAATAAACATCTTTGTTAGTTGTTACAGTTTTTTTCTAAAGGATCAGTTTTGTTAACATCTTAACATCTTGTTGTTAGGGTATTCTACCTTCTATTGTTCAGTCAGCAAAGATGATGAATACACGACATAGTGGAAGTAGAATAGGGCCCTTTCCATTATATTTAGTGCCATTTGAAAAAATGTGAAAGCAGAAGAGCACAAAGCAGATTTGATGAAAAGACATCCATCAGCTCTCAGATAGCTGGTTAGAAGACAGCTGTCCAGCAGGGAATGCTGAGTAATTTGAAGGGACTTCCTCTAGAACAGACAGAACTGGATTTCTTCCTGTAAAGGAAATAGCAATTCATTTGAAGAGCTCAGAAAGTGCGCAACAGCTCAAAATGTTTTTAACACTCTGGATTCCTATTTGAAATCTCTGGGTTTATCTTATGAATCATGTTTGTACACCTAACAGTGCTAATATTGTGTGGATTGCAAGGCACCCCAGGGTGCCATGGCACCCTGGTTGAGAATCACTGTGTTAGTGGGAGTGTCTGTAATTATGGCGCATTAAGTTTAGATCCTGTAATGACAGGTTACGGTGCATTAAGTTTAGTACCTATAATGACTTAATGCCTTGTAATCAGTGCTAATGCTCATTAGTGCAAATAAATGGTCTTTTTGTGACGTTAATGCATAGTAGACTAAATATACTGTGCATTAGCACGGGGTTTGCCTGCCATGCTAATGCGCGGTAGAATTAGTTTGCACTCGAAGGGTCTCATGTAGATGCACCCAGTGACAGCCAAATCTTCCTCTTGCATGGGGGACAAATCCCATGCAGTATAAAATTTGAAACTCTTTGTTGGATTATTTTTCAGATTTGCATTAGAATGAACTTCTTCCCCAACAGCAAACTGACAACATACAGAAAGGGAAGCAAGGTGAGAAAAGGCAAGATAATATTATTCAGCCAGCTTAGAGGAAAATGCTACAAATGGGGGGACTAACCAGCTGGTGTAACAGTGATGTTGTACTGTGATGGTCCAGAAATTATAGAAGAGTAAGAATTTCTTAGGGTGAGATCTTTTATGGACCAGCTATATAGCCGAGAGAAAGCTAGACAAGCTTTTGAATGTAAAATATTCTTTGTCGGGTCTTTTATCACGTCTGGTTTCCTGTGATCAGAAGGCTGATGCAGAATGTCTTGTAATTGAAAGCTTGTTTAACTTTATCCCAACTACACACTTGGTCCAATAAAAGATGGCATCCTAAAAAATCCTTGCCTCTCAGGACTAACCAGGAAAGGCACTAAAGCCATGTTTATCATGCCAGGCAACACCTTCAAGCACAGTGCACTGCTCCACTCAGGCCACCTCCTAATCAGGAAGCAGAGAAGCCCCATCAGTGCTTTGAGCAGAATAATTAGAAGAACTTGTGATAGTGACAGCCTGCACCAATGCTAACTGTCCTGCCAATAGCATCATGGATGTGACTATGCTACTTTCAGTTTAGCGGGCAGATCAGGCAGAGAACATGCTGCTGCCAGGCATGGTACATTTTTCAGACAGATGTAAACCAAGTAGGGCATGCTTGCTAAAAGCATCTCAGCAAGTCTGCATTTCTTGCCAGTAAAAGGTGGTCTTCCACTTAGTCTGCAAAGCCCTAGGAGGCCTAGAAGCTACATCCCTTAAGTTCCACTTCTTTGCTAATCTGCCAAAGCCATAAATAACCAAAGCTGGACTTCTTTTGTCACTACTGGGTGTATCTACATGTTCATTAATCTGCTGTAGTTACTGCACATTAAGTTTAGTATTTAGATAACCATAGGTGATGTGTAGGAGGGGCACAGAGGGGCACGTGCCCCCCCCCCCCGAGATTGGCTCTTGCTGGTCGGGGAGTTGGGTGGTGATGGCCAGTGCCCCCCTGAGATTGTGGGGGTGCCAAGAGAAGCACTGCTGGCACTTCTGCCAGCAGCAACAATCAGCCACTGGGGGACCACCCCCACTCCGGTCCTAGTATCAGGAAGCACTGGTTACCCAGAATAACCAAATATTAAATCAACGCGCCATACTGGAGTTACTGCCAGCACACAAGTTTTTACAGACCCTAACTATTAGGTCTGTGCGAAGCGACTAGTATTTGCTTTGGATTCAGATTCAGCCAACTCAGGGGACAGTGGTTCAATTCAGTGATTTAAATCACTGTCCTAAATCGATTCAGCCGAATCTGATTTTGAGATTCAGCTGCTGCCAAATCAGCCAAATCTCCAAATCATACAGGCCCCATCCCCCACCCACTCTTCCAGCCCCTCCCAGCCCAAGCTCCCAGCTCTTTGGAAAAAAAAAAGCCGGCACTCACTGGATCCTGCCTGGCGGGGGGGTAGCGATCCCCACTGCCCCATACCACATGGGGGGCTCTGCATGAGCCCCCAGAAGCCCTGAGGCTGCTGCAGCAGCCTCAGGGCTTCTGGGGGCTCATGCAGAGCCCCCCATGTGGTATGGGGCAGTGGGGATCGCCCCCCCCTCCCCCCCTGCCTGGCAGAAGCCAGTGAATGGGGGCTTTTTTTTTTAAAGTGCCTGGAGCTGGGGTCGGGTTGGGCAACCATGCTGGGGGGCTGGAGGAGCAACCAGGGTTCAGGGGGCACTTGGGAGGGCTGGGGGAGCAGGTAGGGGATGAGGCCTGGCAGGGGTCACCCCATGGTCCCCTCCCCACTCTTCCAGCCTGCCCTCCCCTGCCCCCTTACCAGCTCAGTGTCCAGGTCCAGCTCCCTGCTGCAGCAGGCAGGGATTGCCTGAATCACTGAAGCTCTCTGAATCTTTTCCAAATTGATTTGGAGAGCTCCAAATCAATTCAGACCTTTTAACTGGTCCCCCGATTCTATATGGATTTGGAGATTCAGCCACCAAATCAGGCCGAATCTCCTCCAAATTGAATCAGCACCCAAAGCTTCGCACAGCCCTACTAACTATGCAGTAGCCTAATACTACTGCACAGTAGTGTATTAGTATGGGGTTTGCCCAGCACACTGCTTCACAGTGTTATTAGGCTACTGTGTGGTTAGCATCTCATGTAGACACAGCACCCTCTCTCACCTGACAAAGTCCTAAACAGGTTCAGGTTCGTCTGCAGTAGGTATGTCCCCAGGTGGGGAAAGACAGCAGATTCTGGGCTAGCCACAGGGAAGTAGCCAGACAGGGACCCATATGCTGCAAATGCCTATTGTGGGGCTAGTTGCCCAGCAATAGGATAACAGGGCAAAGCCCTGGTTAGGCAGCAAGGGCAGTCTACAGTTTGGCCGGAGAAACAGCAGCTGAAGGTTGAGGGGACACACCTGCAGCCAGACAGGAGAAGCCCTGCCCAGAAGGAGAGGATCCCTGGGACATAAACCTGGGTCCCTGAGGCAGAGGTAGTACAGTCCTGAACTCTACAGGGAAAAGAGCTCCTGTCCATTCAGAATGGCAAGGGGTGGGAGCTGCAGGCCGTGTCAAGTACTCCCAGGGCTGAGAGAGCCAGCAAGTGAGGAGGTGGCTTGGCAGCAGTATGATGACCAAAGAGGGGGTGGAGGGGGCTATGAGTGTTGAGTTTAAAGTGATGGCTTGCATTTTTGTTTTAGTTTTACACTGGAGGACCGAGCATGGCTTTAGGGCTGGAAAGGAGGCTACAGGGGTGTCTGAAGGGCATGCCAGGTTTGAGCCCTGCCAAGAGCAAGGGTGTGAGGCAGAAGCAAGCTAAGGCTGAAAGGGCCAGAGCCTGACCCTGAAAGCAAGGCACAGGCAGGCTGAGGCCAAGAAGGCCAGAGCCTGGCTCTGACAGCAAGGTGACAAAGGACAGCCTGTTGCTGAGGGGGCTGAAGCCTGAGCCCAGAGGGGGCAATGGAAGTAGCCAGAGGCTGAACGGCCAGGCCAGAGCTAGTGGGACGAGGCTACCAGTCCACCACCAGAGTAACCTGTAGACTCTGGCTAAGAAAGCCAAAGCCTATACAGGAAGGAAAACAATGGCAGTGTCATCTGTAAGGCATGCCTATGGCTATGGGGGTGGAAGGAGGCCATGATTAAGAGCCCTAAGGCTTAAATAAGGGCCAATCGGCCCATGGGAGGTGACCATTGGTTCACAGTGCCAGCCAGGCACGAGTAGGTCTGCCAGGGTGCAAGAGACTCTGCAGAGAACTCTGTAGTTCTGGGTAGTGGGCAGAGGGCCTGAGACCATGAGCAATCAAGTAGGTTGGCCAGGCACCAGTGAGAACACCCCTGGGTTCAGGGGCAGCCTCCCAGCCAATATCAAGGAACATCAAGACTTGGCAGGTAAGATCAGCAGGGAAGGTTATATAGACGACTGGGAATACAGGCAGGATCAGGAAGGCCCCAAGGCAGGGGCGGGCAATTATTTTGGGTGGAGGGCCGCTTACCAAGTTTTGGCAAGCTGTCGAGGACTGCATGGGTAGCCCCGCCCCTTGACAGATGCCCCACCCCCTGGTTGCCATCTTGGGACCAGAAGCCCTGACCCCTAACCTTCACCACCAGTACTCCTTTCAGCAAGGGGTTTTGCCATCTCTGAACCAGAAAAATACCAAATTATATTCTAAAAATCAAATGTACTACAACATTCATTAATTTCATTTAAAAATATTTTTTTGTTCTGATTTACATGTGTTTGTGTAGTGTACATAGAGGTGATAGTATAATAGCTTAAAATGCAATCTTACTCTTGTATATTGTGGGAGGGTGGGTATAGGTTTATGGGTGTGTGGGGTGTGGGAGGAGGGTGTATGTGGGATTTGTGGGGGGCTGCGAGCGTGTGAGGGGAGGGGGGCTAGGGAGGGTTGTGGCTTGTGTGGAGGGGATGTGTCTGCCCACAGCCTGCCTCCCCACAGGAGGCAGAGCCCCCGCCAGTGCTCCTGCAAGCCCAGGCTCCAGGCTCCTGCCACTCCTGGCCCCGGGCACTGGCATGGGGCACTCCTGCTCACTGCCACTTGCCCCCTGTCTGCCACTGCTGCCCTTCTCCTGCCACTTCCCTCCCCCCAACCCCTCACCTCTCTGGCACCACATCCCAAATGTTCCTGTGGTCCTGCTGCTGCAGCTGGGAACCACATGGTGCTGGAGTATAGTGGGCAGGGGCAGGGTAGTGGGGAAATGGCAGTGGCAGAGGAGAAGGGGCAGCAGGTGGGTGTGTGGAGCACAGCAACAGCCAGGTGGGATTACAGGGCCTGCGCCAGTGCAGTGCCAGTGGGGCCCAGAGCGGGTCAGCAAGAGCGCAGTGGCTCTGTGGAGCCGGGCTGGCTCCCTTCTCTCCCTGCTTGAGCAGCGCAGCCCGGCTCCATAGAACCTCTGGCAGCCTGGCCCTGCGCTCCTGCTGCTCCACTCTGGGCCCCACCGGCACTGGTCCCAGTGTACTGGCACAGGCCCCGCACTCCTGCCCAGCTGTTGCGGCACTCTACGTAACCACTTCC